CCCCAAAACCCCAAAACCCCAAAACCCCAAAACCCCGAGGAGTTAAAATAAAATTGAACTTAAAAATAAAATATGTTTTGAAATAATTGATTTTAAAAAATAAAATTTATTCATCTGCCTTGCTTGCTTTACGTTCATTTAGGGTTTCAAGGATACTTTCCGCTACTTCTCCTGATTCAGACTCATTGAGAGCAATACAGAATGCTTTTCCTATGTCTCTTAATTGAGTAGGGGTGAAATGTCAACCCTTATATTTTCCCATATCTGAACCTAAAAAGGATGCTTCCAGGGTGAAACTATTGTTCACGTTGTATTCACGATTTACGACAACTCTTCCAGTTGATTCTTTATCTTTTTGGATATTAAAGTTGCAATCATCGAAGGAGAAGGCCCCGTTACTCTCTGACATGATGTATGGGAAGACCTTCATAGTCTTGTCATCAGGGTCATTAGATTTTCACCCATACATGAAAGCATTCTTCTTCCTTGAATGTCCATGGCAGTCAACGTAGAGATAGATCCTTCTGCTCTCTAGAGTCTTCTTGAACATTAGTTTGGTATTGTAGATCTCAGGAAACATTCTTGAAGTGGCTCCAATCCATTGTCTGTTAAGATCTTGCCCACTGAGGGAGCATCTATAGTTACCCAGGATGACTCCGTCTGGGTTTAGCATGGGGATTATTTTGAATACATATTTATCTCTTAGTTGAATGGCTGTGGTTGTGTTCCCAACTAAAAAATCAAGGATGCCTTGTACAACAAAACTGGAATTAGATTCCCCTGGGTGAACCCTTCCTGTAATTATAGCAGCTTGTCTTTTCGAAATATCAAGTTCAGAGGAAGTGAAATTAGTTATAATTACTAAATCCAAACTGTTGCCAGCTAGGGATTTACACATTTCGGTCTTCCTGATTTTGGATTTCATATTGATCCTTCCTTTCTCTTCATTATCATTACAGATAGACTCAAGGTGTTCCTTACAATCTCTGTAGGTGAATGGGAAGCAGTGGCATAGATAGACCTCATCGTTGTCAAAGAGAAACTCAATCTCGAAGGTTAGAGTAGACATAAAGCCAGAGGAGTTCTTTTTCTTGGTGTTGTTCTGATAATATCAAATATTCTCTCCGCCTCTATACCAACCGATTCCATCTTCTTCTTGCTTCTTCTTTGAATATATAAGGGGCTTCATTCCTTGGTTGTAAAGTGAGTCAGATTTAAAGAAGTTCTTTAGATGGAAAGTGTACTTTACTCCTTCCTTAATGTTTGAACACTTGAAAAAATACCATTGAATGTACCCTTGAGAGTTATAATCATTCCTGAGGAAGAGATCATATTCAAACTCGCTGAGCTGCACTGCTTTTCGAAGGTTGCCTGATTCGAATCTGCTTTCGAAGATCAAGGTTGTATCTTCCTCTCCCTGAAGTACATAATAAGGGTTTAGGCTTGTGTAGATCTTGTCAAGTTTGGGAAGTCCAGTGTTCATAATATTTCTTCTCAGACCTCTCATCTTGAACCTTGCGTTATTATGGCTACTCTCACGTCCTGAGGTTTGGAGTAGCAACTTATCATCAATGTATTTATTTGCTCAAATCCTTGTAATATGGAGAGTCTTCTAGGTAATCATACACAATTTTTGAATTTTTAAGGAATTTGTCAACGTGCTTGATCTGCTCTCTTCTAATGAAATCTTCTTTTAATGAGAACCGATGTGCCCATTTGGTGTCCGTCTCATTATATCTGTCTTTAAACTTTATTCTTTTAGCAAGGAAAGGGGTATCAACTAATAATTTTGGCATCCATTTCAAATCTCCAGCCTGCTTGAGTTTGCTATATTCTGTTTGGTATTTATTCTTTTGTGAGCCAGAGGTGGTGTCTCTCTTCAGCCTTTGCTTTTTGGAAATTCCATCTTTTCCAAGAATGGTCTTGCTATCGTTCTTGGCCTTGTGTCTTAGTGAAGGAGCTCCGTCTGTTGGTTTGACTTTTAAGACTCCCTTTTCTTCATTGAGAGACTGGCTGATTCCTTTCTCTTTCCTTTACTGACTTTTTGCTGCTTTATAGTAGGCAGATTGCTCTTCTTTATGCCTGTATTGGGATTAGTACGGGGAAACATTGATAAGGAATACCTTTCTCCATCGGATCATTGGCTATGGATTGCTGGAGCAACTTCTTTTGATAGTTTTTCATCTAGTTTAAATTATTTTGAAAATATACTTGTTTCTCGTTCTCTCGAGAAGCGAACCCTCTCGTCTTGAAGGAGGTGCTCTGGGTCTTGTTTACAGGGGTTGAGGTGTTGCTTAATGAGCTAGCCTGCTTCTTCATCATACGAGCAAGTTGCTTAGGACTTGAAACTCCTTTTCTATTTCTCTATCACTTTAGATTTGCCTAACTTGGTTGAGATAGCTCTGGAATTCTTAGTTTTGGATCTTCCAAATTCTATAAGATGTTGATTAAGCTTGTGTAATGGCATACCTGTTTTCTTGGGGTAGTCTCCATAATGTCCTTTATCATAAGAATCAATCCCCTTGCTGCCTTTGCCTAGGAAAATGAGATTTAATTCTTACTTTTTGGCTTATTATCATTAAGCAAGAGTCCAATAGAAGCAGCAGGTTCCTCTTCACCGCTGATTATCATCTTGTAGAGCTCATTTTGTTCTTTTTGGCAGTTCTTTTGTACTTGGGAGTTTCTTAACAGAGGAGAGTGAGAAGAATTTATGTCTAGAGTTAAAGAAAACACTACCTATTCTTCTGCGACCATCATAGTTGTACACTGTTCTACTGTATTCTTCATTGGTTCTTGTGGCTGAAGCAGTTAGATTGAAAAATACCTCTTTGCCCATCAATAAGTCTTCTTTCTAGGTCTGGGAGCTCTTTGATATTTTTACTGAATTTAGGTATCAGGTTGGCTTTTGTCAGGAATACCAAAATAAGTTGAGTTGTTTTGGTCCCTTGTAAAGGCATTCATGCTACCTATCTCGTGCAGGTTGTTATTTTCAGAATCCATTTAACGAAATTGAATTTAATTATATTCTTAAATAAGAAGGGGTTTTGGGGTTTTGGGGTTTTGGGGTTTTGGGG